AGCTGTGGCAGGGCGCAGCGGTTCGCAGCCTGCCTCTGCCGAGGGGGGCTGGCAGGGGTGCTGGCCGTGGTTGCACCTTCTTGTGCTAGGCTGAAAGCACAGTCACGGGGTCTGACCGGGGGACAGGGAGCTCGGGGGGGTCCCCGCAGACAGAGTTTCTCTGGCCCTGCCACCACCAGTGTGTGCCTCTTTTGCTCCTGCCAGGTTGCAGACAGTAGTGCACTGTTTCTCATGGTGAAGAGGGCAGAGATGGGTCTGTGATGGGGAGCTGTGCCACATGAGTCACTGCTCCTCCAGGGCTGGAAGACAGCTCTCTCCACCCTGGGGTTAAGACTACAGCAGAGCAGCCTAGAACCTGCCTGGTCTGGTTGCCCCATGGGTGTGAACTCGGGGAGCCTTTGTGCAGGCAGCACACTGGCATGAGTGCATGGAACAGTTCTCCTGGTTAAGTGTAACTGTCATGGAGGAGGGTCATGCAGACTACCACAAACCTCTCTCCTCAGTTCACTGCCTTCCCTTAGAAGGTAGAGAGTAGGGAGCAGACATAGAACAGCCCTACAGAGTAAGGCACAGAGAAACTGTACAATGCCTGTCAGCTCTGTTGCAAGTAATAGTGCTTGGAATGTCTGTTACCGGCAAGGTCTGTGACTAATGATGGTCCCACGGAGTTGGAGTTATGTCTGAACGATGGGTACCAGATGTTTGTCTTGGGGATGGGAATGCATCATACGGCTCTGTCTAGGGGATATGTATACAGATGAAGCAGAGCCTGCTTTTGTAGATTACACCTCACAACCCTTTAAAGCATGTCACAGCACAACAACCTCAAACTCAGGAGCTCTGGCTGTGTCATCACATCCCCTGCTGCAAACCCTGCTGGCTTCCCAGTCTGTGTAGTACTACTGTGTGACGTGTGCAATGAGAACGTAGTCCTGAAGAGCAAACTAGTCTCGATGTGCTTGATCACTGGGGAGAGAAGGTTATAGCCACACCAGGCAGGAGCAGGGATTGCCTTGCTGGCCCCTCTGAAGTCCTCTGAGTGCCATTGTTCTGGGTAATCTATTTACAATGGGACTTAATAGATATCTGTTTTTCTCTAATTGCAGTAAAGAATTCATGTGACTGTGAGTCAATGTGCATCTGGCTCTGCTAGCTTTCCTGAATCATGCACTGTCTCCTGAATTATGCACCATATTTGGTACCACTGCTGATCTGCAGAGTTTGTTACTGCTTCAGCTAGTAACTGACTTATCTGTGCTGCTTTGCTTAGTACATAGGAGCTTTCACCCCAACACAGAACCCCATCGCATAAGGTCTTGTACAAAGGCAACCCCTGTTCCCAAATAAGTCCAAGGAGACCATTGGAGGCCAGTAATATTTAACAGGTACAAAGAGACTGAGAGGGCCAGGGATCCTGGCTTTGGAGAGGCCCCTTGCCAACCACAAAGCCGCCTCTCCTGGAGTTGTAGGTCACAGGGAGCTGGGCTGTGGATGAATTTCAGTCAGGAAAATGGATGACCGTGAATGCTGACTTGAATTGTGCCCCTTTTTAGGGATAGGAGCTGGTTCAGGCCTGAGACCAGGCTCAAGAGAACTGTGTATACAGCCCTCAGTCCTCACTCTTGAGCCCCGTCTGCACCATACAGGCTGCAGCCAGCCAAGCCGTACCTTTCCTGCCCATGGCAGGCAGCTGGCAATGCTTTCAGAAGCACTCCTCAAGTGCCAGGAATACTGTCAGAGATGGACACAGGTGCTAGTGATGCCTGGAGAGGATCAAGCAAGCAGGCAGTGTCTTGTGTCTCTCTCTACCACCCCCACAAGCCTGGGTTCTACAGCCCACTCTAAAACCCTGCTCTGCCTATGCTCCTGAGGATCAGGCAATGCATAGTAGGCAGATAATAAACAAAACCCAGATTTCTCTCAGCTAAGCTGCCTATGACCTGAGGCAAAGCCAATTACAGAGCAGCTGCTTTCATTGTGCCAATGATTAGCAGGGATAATTGCATCTCCCACTGGCTGGGGGAGCTTTCCTGCCTTTCTGTGCTACCTCAAGGGCCCTCCCTGTCTTTGCAAAGGATGGCCAAGGAGGAGTGTTCCCAAACCACGCTACTCCCAGCACATTTGCAGGACATTCAATCCCAATCCCCAGTGCAAATGAAGGGGCAACCTCTTCTGGTCACAGAAGCTGTAAGCCTGCCCTCCTGAGAGTTTTACAGCAAGGCCCTGGAGGAAAATAAAATAGAGCTGCCTAGATCTGTAGCTGACATAAACCAACCTTGTTCTGCTGGCTTCCAGGAAATCTCATTGGTTTACTCGAGGTTTCATTCTGAATGGTGTGTTTCTCTGGTCTTTGCTAGCACAAACAGATTGGCAGGTCCTAAGCCCATCTTGGCAGAAAAGCAAGGAGTCTCATCCTGCATTTCAAGACTGTTGGTCCTCCCAGTCTTGGTTTGTATTTGAAAAGCAGAAGTGATGCCGTTTTCCCAAGCATTGCTCTGGAGAAGATAAAAGAACTTGGGCAAATCTGGGCAAAGCTGAATCAAACGTGACACTATTGAAAAGAGACTGGAGCAAGGAGAAAACAAAGAATTGTTGTTAAGGAGCAACGTGAGCAAGGACTCTGCCAGGACATTGACTGGAAAGTGGTTGCCACAAGTTGTTTCACTGGACCCACCCCATTCTCTTCATCCTTTTGTGAGATGGGAAGATAAGAAACATTTCCTTTGGGAGACATCCACATTGGATAGGCAGGAGACTTCAGGTGTGGAGTGACTGGCAAGGACCAGAAGGCAGTGGCTTTGGGTTTTGACAGCAGCATGAATAACTTCCTTAGCTGTCCTTGAAATGTTTGTGGCAATTTTCCAGAATGCCTTCAAACTTCCAAACTATGCAGTTTTGACAGCTCATATCATATCTTTAGTTTCACTCAGTCCTGTAATTGCATGAGAATTTTACCTTTCATTTCCTGGGGCTACAGGCAGATTACTACCCACTGACTGGGCACTGGCTTGAGGTTAAGGTCTCTGAACAGAACATGGACAACTGCATGACGTGGTATGTGAAATGACTGCATATGGCAGTTAACAGTGTGAAAAGCTGACAAAAGTTGCAGATAATGCCACAAGGTGCAACTGGATCTCCCAAGTGGTTATGGAGCAGTGATGTGAGGAAAGGCCAAACTTCACCGATAACTGGAGAGAAGCATTGGGGTCCTTCTGGGGCAAGGCCAGCAGTTCCTCAGTAACTGTGTCAGTAATAGCAGATAATGGTAAGATTACCTAGCTAACAGTATCAGAAATACCAAACTGGACACAGATGTTAAAAAAAAAAAATCCACGATACCAATGGGGAAAAAATAGTTAGAAGCCAGTTGTTCCTTTGGGAGGAGACTGGGACAGGCAAAGGAAGTACAGGGATTATGAAAAGGAGGGTCAAGAAACAGGAAAAGGGAGTACCAAGGTACACAAATGTTGTGACCAGTGCTGCATGGAGGAAGCAGCCAAGCAGCCCTGTGTGTGATCACCATTGCTAGAGCAGAATTGTAAACCAAACCTGTTGTTTTGGCCATAGCATGCATATCAAACCTACTGTCCTGGTCAGGAGGATGAAGGGGAAGACATGTTGCTTTCCCTAACAGACTTGAGAACACCCAGGAGAATGGATTGACCTTCCTGGTATTACCATATAGATGCATCTTCTAGGTGTGAATGCTTTGGTAGCTACCTATCGCTTCCTAACATTCTTTAAAAACAGGTTCAGCTTTTTCTAGCCTTGCTGAGAAAAGATTGACAAGGTGACACAGAGTATGAATTTGCATTGGTTTACATAGCAACCTGGCAAGAAAACCAGTTCACTCCACACGTCAACCAGTTAAGGTCCACATAAGCCAAGGTGCATTTCATGTACCGAGGATAGGCATGGTCTGGCTCCCTCTTTACCCCAATAGCAAAATCACCAAGAAACAGGCCCAGGTCCAGGCATCCCCCTGCATTGCACAATAAAGAAAGCAACATTCCCTTGTGCCTGTGATTCAGATGACTTGTTTGTGCCTGCGTGAGGAGCTTTTGTTCTCTATTCTTCTTGCTGTTACTGTGGGTGGGCAGAAGCTATGTGGAAAACTGCAGGATCTGGGTGCAAACAAGCTCTACAGGCCAAGGAACAGA